ATGTTTCTCCGATGCAAATGCAACCTCTCCAGATTATCCACCCATACGTTGAACAATTTCTGCGTTGGTGCAACCAGGTGGAGAGCTTTGTATTTTCCAGAATCGACATGAATAATGGTGAACCAAAGAGATTCATGTTCCATGCTAAGCTTAAAATGCTCTCGGTAATTTCTTATTGCTTCGCCAATGCGAATCTCCTTAATGTTCTCGATGTTGACTAAGGAAAGAGATTAAAGGTGAGACGGGATTCAAATTGAAATTATGTAGATGCCGAAGCTAAGATGGTTGGTTGGTTACCTTTCCCTGATTTCTTGGAATCCCACAATATTCTTCCTTGGTCGACGTCGATCCTGAAGGTTCGTTGTTGTTTCTTTTTTGCCGACACTTTCAACAGGGCCGTCCCTTCGGCGAGACAGGAGTCAACAACTATCTCGTGTGTTTTGGGATTAAGCCCAAGGGTTTCATACGTCGATGTGCGTCTGGGAGGTCGACAGATGGAAACATACTCTTCCGAGTTAACTTCTTTATTTGCGAATTCGAACTCACAGTTTGTCCGAGTAGGCGATTTTCCAGAGGACTGAATACCACGTGATAAGTTGTTATTCGAAGCGCAAGAGTCTGGAGATACATTGTCAGTTACGATACTATTTATGACGATTTCATCAGAGACGACAATTGATTTTTTAGTGGCGATTGCAGATGGAACACTCGAAGGGAATTTCTTATTCTGGTCCGAATGGCATGCAATAGGCTTCTGCACCAATCTGTCCGGAGGAAGATTTAATGAGTGATTTGCAGGTAAACCATCAATCTTTGAAGGATATCTTTCCAAAGGATCATTTGTCAACGAGAAATCGACGCCGGCATTTTCGGATACTTTCTCATACACGACAGAATCGCCATTTCGATGTTGACTGCGGATCGCTGAATCTGGGTAACTTGAATTTGCGTATGATGTGGGTTCACTCACGTGACTCTTTTTGCTGAGGGATATCTCCACAGGCTCCGGAGGAGAATCAGCGGCGGTAGGTTCGTTTACTTCCTTTCCATCGCATTGTTTTTGCCTGGAATTTTCGGTCGAAACCGATGGGCGATCAGATGAAACTTCTTCCGCCTTCATTTTCGGTGAAGCCTTACTTGATGATACGGTTGGAGAATTTGCGAGTGAGACGGTTGTGTTGAATGCGTTCTGATTTTCTTGATCAACAATCTGATAAGGCGAAAGATTCATGCATTCGTTGGGGCGTAGGTCAACTTGACCTCCGGTAGAGTTGAAGGGCGTTTGCGCGTCAAGGGAAATATGTTCTTTAAGCGCGTCCACTTTGGAAGTTGCGTCAAATGGAGTGAATGAATTAGACGTCGTCTCTTCATATTTTTTACTATACCGAGAGAATGAGACGATCGTCTCCAAGTCATTATCTTTGGGTTCGTCTACCATTGCGTTAAGAATATCTATGTTACTTTTTTGCTTTTTTGACCACCTCTTCCGCAAGGCCGAAACGGCCACCACGGTACGACCAAACATAATTCAAATGGGAGATAAAGTGCATGAAGGAAAG